TCTGAACAATGTAAGACACGAAGCCAGGAGCAATTTCAGGAATAAAAAGCGGGAATGTCTGAAAAGCAAAATTGATGAGCTTGCAATGAACAGTAAGAACAAGAACATTAGAGACCTGTACAGAGGAATAAATGAATCTAATTGGGGTTATCAGTCTAAAAGTAAATTAGTGAAGGCTGAGAATGGTGATCTGTTTGCAGATTCCCACAACATTCTGAATAGATGGAAGAACCATTTCTCTCAGTTATTGAATGTACATAGGGTCAGTGATGTTATTTGGACCAAAGAGAGATGAAGTGACAGGAGGTTTGAGAAAACTGCATAATGAGGAGCTTCATGACTTGTACTCTTCTCCAAGCATAATTAGAGTGACCAAGTCAAGGAGGATGAGATGGGCAGGACATGTAGCATGAATGGGGAACAGAGGAGTGCATATAGGACATTGGTGGGAAAGCCAGATGCAAGATCATTAGGCAGACCACAATGTAGGTGGGTGAATAAAGTTAAAATGAATATTAGAGATCTAGAATTGGATGGTATGGACTGGATTGATCTGGCTCAGGAAAGGAACCAGTGTAGGGCTATTGTGAACATGGTAATGAACTTTTTGTGTTCCATAAAATGTTAGGAAGTTCTTGAGTAGCTGTGACTGGCAGTTTCTCAAGAAGGGCTCAAGATCTGTGAAATTAATTAGTTAGAATCACAAAGCTTAAAAAATAATTAAAATGTGTTCAATTTTGTTAAATCAGCTTTCCAAAAAAACAGATAGCTGTTTCAGCTGCACTCGTCTGTCACATACTAACTGGCAAACTCATACTTCTAAAAAGAGGTCACAGCAGTGCTCACCTCAATTAGCTATGTTCCTGCAATACAGCCAGAAATTTCACTTTGTGTTTTGTTATCAGCCTATGGTCAACTGTTAATGCCAACCCTGGATTCAAATTATGTTGCTGCCAAAATTTTTATGGCAGTAGGTTCAGACTGCTATTCAAAGAGTTTCTCAGCTGATCTATAATTACGATAGAATCCATAAAGAACGGTTCACATGTTACCAAATAAGAATTAACAGGCAACTGGCAAATCAACTAGTGACTCCCAACATGAAGATCAGAGCAGAATGTCAACAACTCAGATGTAAGCCTCAGTGTACTTTTAATGAGGAAAAATACACAGTGGTCTCCTTATATTGGACCTGGGTACTGTGTCCCTCAAATACAAGCTGGATACTTAAGGATTAAATAGTTACCGTGACCAAGACTGTCAGTAGCAATACAGGGATAAAAATTAAGAGGCAAAATGCAATAAAAACACGACATATTTGTAGTTTAACATTTAAAGTACAAGACAATTTTAAAACAGTCTGCACACACAGGTAGTCCCTGCTCTTACAAATAATGATGTTAAATAGTCAGGAGTTATGTTTCAAAACTACCAAAAAAAGAAAAAATCACTAATCATATAGTCTGAAATGAAAGACATAAGCGTCCGAATCATATTTTTCTATAATTGTAGTATTAACACACACACACACACAAAGCAGACTAGAGCAGAGCATCGGGAACTGACTAGATGATGTTGCATTCTTTTGTTTCCAATTTTGTTTGCATGTGTTCCTTTTTGTTTGGAAATGATCAAGTTCATGCCTTGATGATCAGCCAAGCTGAGTGTATGCAGTTAATTACAAATATTTCTATGAGCAAAATTTTGTAATGAAAATCTTTGCAAAGCAACATCTACCTGTATTTCCTAGTCTCTTTCCATAATCAGTGATATTAATTTGACACATATTATTACGTTTGAAAAACAAAAGAGCCAATCAGGGCTCCAGAAATACAATCATCTACTTAATAGAAGAAAATTAATGGAGACCAGTGGCAGGTATAAAAAAAATTTATATGGATGCTGCTAGTCTATTGATGAGTGTTTTTTAAGTGGCTAGTTAATTGAAACTGTATTTCTGAAGCCTTGGTGCCAATGGTAGCAATTATTTTTACCAAACTGGCCATACTACTATATTAATAGATTTCATCACACTTATTGCCATTTGAGTTAGATATGATTACTATATTTTTACAGTGATCAGTTGTTAGTCAGATGAAGTGATGCCGGTGTATACTAAAGAGACACTGATAGTCTTGCATTGTAAAGCCATTCCTTAATTGTATTAAACTTGGAACACTAAGTAACTGTCTCAGTTACCTCTCCCCTGTTTTAATTCTATGTGGAATCAGCATATTAAAATCAAATTTTCTCACTAATGTCAAAACTAATTTAACTTCTATCTGCCATTGGTGATAGTGTCAAAGTCTTAATAGTTACTTTGTTCAACAGATGTTTTACTAAGTACTTAAAGTAAGGGATCTAAATTAGAACATACTCTCATAACTGTCATGTGATTGAGTGACTACAGACACAGTCTGGATTGAAAATGGGATTTACTGAACTCCTACAGAACGTATCCACTAATAACTATAGTTTTAATGCTAATTCACATACTCTGCGGTTCACTACAGCACATACAAAGTCTTCTCAGTCTGCTGTATCTTCACCGGTTGTCACCTGGTAATCAATGCCATAGCTTCCTCAGCCTCTGTGTTCACGTCCTTATTGGCCAATGGCTGTCTCACAGCTGATTAAGCTTCAGACTTGTCCTGCTTATAACATCTTGGCATGCACTGCACAGAAAACATTTCTCCAAACAGTTCTTCTATTGTTGCATTACACAGCTATCACATGAACCGTGTAGAGAACACTGCTTCCCAGTTACTCCAGTGTAGTTTTTTTATGAATCTGTTGCCTAGCAACACGTGTGTTTGCAGAGCTGTTCTCTAGCAATGGCTGTCTCTGCTGGCTTCACAGTTCTTGCCTTGAGCAAATATGCCACAATACCAATAGATTACAAGGGATAGGGAGTTGACATTTGATGATTTCATCCAGTTAACACACGAACTTTCAATTATTTTAGAAAGGCAGAAAATGAATAAAAAAATAGATTCAGTGCTATGTAAAAGAGTACCATGTTTACTCAAATAATTTTTACAAACATTTGCACTAACATTTCTTAAGAAAATAGGGTGTAATTGTCAATTAGGTCACTTTCTCTCTCGCAGATGAACCGACTCTTGTTCCAACATGTCTCACAAAGAAAACTATGTACGTCATACTAGTATACAGTGATGCCAACAAAGGACAAAATGTACCATATTTATGCAAGTATACAATGGGTTTTGTGGTCTTGGTTGTGGTTGAAGATTTGAGATTATGGTCTTCTGGGTTATGATACCATGTAGCATGGTAGGCAACCACCTATATCTACCCAAAAATGGAGGCATAAGTTCCTCCAAAACATTGCTAACTCTTCACAGAACTACAGTGTCCTAAGCTAGAAGACCACGATTTAAATACAATGGAAACACAATATAATGAGTACAGCTTAAAATGAGAACATCAATATGGTCAGAAGAAACATCGCCACTGTCAGTTTCTTCATATATGGAAAATCTCATATAAAATGGCAATTTCTGTCACTTTCATCATAATTAGCAGCTTTACTTGCCAGCTGTGACTTCTTTCTTCAACTTCTTTGAATGAAATGTAATTTCACCCAAAGTCAAAGTTATGTTACGACCAATGGTCAGTTGGCCAGTCTGTCTTGGTATCAAGCCCCATCTGGGGTATAAGACCAAATTTTTATTATTGTAAGACAGTTGCGGGTTTGTTGATGTGGGGAAACAACTGCTGGTGGCCCTTGCCAGCGCACTCATGATCATACTGTCTTAGATTTGAGACAACTCCAACTTGGAGGGTCAGATTTGTTTTCAAATCTGTGCCATATAGTAATATATGTAATAAATAGCTTTGGACATTTATTTACCTATATAGGTACAAATATAGTAAACATTTAAAAATACTGAATTATGTAGTATTGTTTAAAATTAGCATTAACATCATACACTGTACAGCAAGCTGATTCTCGATTTCTGCAGCAAAGGACTACTATGCATTCACAAAGTAAGGTCCACCTGCCTAGTGTGGCATACGAGTATTTTGAAACTCGAATATCCAGAGTGCTGATAGGAGAACACTATTTTCAGAACTCTGGTTGTGCAGAAGCAAAGACATTGGAAATACTGCACACAATCAGATTTGATGGATGGTGCTTCATTTCAAATGTACCATTAAATTAAGAGGCAATACTTGACAACCTATTAAGCTCAAATTGCATTTGAATATGGCCATAAAAGTTATAAAAATCTAATGATCTAACAATAGATTCTTTTCCAGAAATCCCTGACTCACATTTGAGTCTTTATACATTTTCTCCCTTTGCAAATATAAGCCAACTTCCTATTTTTTAATGAAACCAAAACAATATGAGAAGCTTGTCTTACTGTCAAGAACATATGGTACCAGTTACTCGGGTAGTTTTCAATCACCAAAGAATTTTTTAAATTGGTTAATAATACTGAAATACTGTACATACACACTATGACAAAATAAAAGTGACTGAAAGAGTGCCATGCTAGAAGTGTGATTCGTGCTGGTAACAAGAGAGCCATGACCCAACTGACAATTTTACATATAAAGACAAATAACTTTACCTGGCCTGCCAGACTGCAACAGATTGTCCCCTAACTGCTAATTACTTTCATGATCTCTCTCAGGGATGGATACAAAATAGAAAACTTTAATTTTGGTTATGTAACTATGCTGTATCAACTCTAAGGCTTATTCAGTTCAAGTTGAGATATGAGGATTATAGAAAGATAAGGAAGGTAGCGTGTATT